GGGGAAGCAGGGGAGCTCGGGAGTTCTGGGTGCCAGCTGGCCTGGCCGGTCCCCCAGCAGTTTTGAGCAAGCCTCGGGGATTCTTTGATGACCCCTCAAGGACTTGTTGCTTGAAGCCTGGCTTAATAAACCTCTTCTCTTTTGGCAACTGAGGCAGATTTCCCTTAAAGCTGACAGGTCTCAAAAGTTGTTTTGAATTTATTGTGCTGGTTGCATTGGTATGTTTCCATTCCTAATGAGAGTGGAGGCGTTTTGCTATTTTTTTTTTTTTTAAAGGAAAGGCCATATAAATGCTGCCTTTTCCCCCTCCTCCTCTTTTTTTTTTTTTTTCCAAAGCTTTCAGGTTACAGTGATTTAATGGCCACCAATGGTAAGTGCTGCAAATTTGACTCCAGACTCCTGTGTAGACAGTGAGAAAATATTGATACTTTTACAAGTGCTGAACATCTCTAGGTTTCTCTTTGGCATTGGTTTTACCAATGCTGAAGATACCCCAAATACCAGGGCCAAGATAGTGTTTGAAAAAACAGTCCGGCACCTTTTTCTGAGGACCAGTTTCAGTGGGATTTAGTTTTCCAAATACCTTTATGAATCTGGCTCTGAAAGGACTTGAAGGTAGGTCAGAAAGGTGAGGATTTTTCCAGGATTTTAAAATGAAAGGTACTGCTGTGCTTGGAGATCAAACTCTTATGTCGATCATGTAAGGCAGTTTTAGCTGCAGAAGAGAAGGTCTTTTTTTAAAGCATGAAAAGGTGGAGAAAGTGATAGCCAAAGGGCTTTTGGTTTGATTTCTACCACTAATGTGTCTTATCACTGCAGCTGCAGACTCTATAAAGTATTTAATCTGCAGCCTCTTCAGAGATTTCCACTGTTAGTGGCTCTTCTCAGACCAAGGTAATTTCCCAAGTATTCTTATGGGTTCGGGTGCTGTGACCTGACTGACACTAAGAAGCTCCGTCTTCTAGAACAAGTCCATTTTGTCTGCGAGTCGAGCTATTGCGAGGTAGGGTGAGGTGTATCCCCTGTGTCTCTGAGGCTTGTAAGCCCTGCAGCAGGCAGCGAAGAATGTGATGAAGCTTTGTTGCAGGTTTTGTTTTCCCTAGAATATCCTTCATATCTAGCTGCTGAGCGGAGCCACCAAGCAGCTCTGACAGTTCTCTGCTGCTCGATGCCTGTCTCATCTCTGAGCTGTGTGGGAGTTTTTAAAGGCAGATTAATAATTAACGTACCTGGAGGCTTTGATCTTTCAGTTGTAGTCTGGATACATCTAAAACCTCATTAAATGCGACCAGAGGAGGTGATGCTGCCTTTTTATTCACTAATGCAGAGACCGGAGTACCCTCCGAATTTCAGTTCCTTCTTCCTTCTCAGACCATTTCATTCCCTTCTGCAATTCATCTGTCAAGAATCCTTATCACCAGGCTGCTGGGTGTTCATACTGAAACTGCCGAATTTCCAGGCTTTCAGCTGTGTATGTGAACCACCTGGCTTGAAAGCCTCTTTGTCTGCTCATCTTCTGGATTCTGAAGTGCCCCCATTACAAAGAGCAGGTGGGACCCCCTGCCTCGGCTGGCCTGCAGGCTAATGGCTGGATACTCTCCTGGGCGGAGGGGTGGGAGATGCAGGCCATGGCAGGCAGGACCTGTATCCTCTGTTTGCTCAGACCACAGAGCATCAGTGTCGCTGTCGTCCAGGATGGTCCTGCTCCCGGTCCCTCAAAGGTGGCTGCTGCTGAGAGTTAAACACCTGTGGTTCAGTGTCTGGAAGAGACTTCCAGGCATGAGTCTCTGCCATGTCTTTCTGGCTGGCTGAGGCAATGACAACTCGCTGCTTTCCCTAGTAGGAAAGCCTGTTCTTGCCATAGACTCCCTCCCTTTCCAGTCTACCAGCACTGACTAGTCAAGTGCCAAATCTGGCCCTAGAAGCCTTTGAAGGGAAGGTCTGGAGAAACATCCTTCTCCTCAACCTTTCCTCTTGGCTAGCTTTTGTTGCTCCCTCTTTTGCTTGCTGGCTATTGTGAATCATGGACTTGACAAAAGAGGCAGGACCATCCACTGCGGATACTGTGAGCTCCTCTAGGCCACAACGTACACCAAGATGCAGTGCCTTATACCCTTAGGAATCTCCTTTTGGGGAGGTGTGGCCGGATTCAGGCTTAATTTGTTTGGTATGCACATGAGGATATGAGGGAGAAGAGAGCTATCATGGAGAACGGATACTCCAAAATTTTATCAAGACTGTGGTCAAGTAGTTTGTATAACCTTAAAAAATAACTGTAAGGTAGCCAGTGGTCTGACCTGGTTTCTGGCAGTCAGGGCTGGCTCTACGCATAGGCAAAGGAGGCAGCAGCCTGAGACAGCAGAGGACAGTAAAGCAGAAAACGTTTTCCTGGCAGTCGTGTCTGTCAGAGCCCTGGGGAGCTGGGCTGGTTGCTGCTTCTCCGTGGCAGCAGAAGCTTTATATCCACATTTCCATTACTCTTCCCTTCCCTCTCCTTCCCCCAGATATTGCTGTTCTCTAGATCCACCTTTATGATGTGCCGTCTCCTCCAGCTCTGGTTCCTTCTCTTTGGGGTGGCAAAGTTCAGTTTTGCCTGCACTCTTGACAAACATTGAGTGATGTTGCTGCAGTTGTGACACAACTTAATGTGGCCTCAATATTTGAGCAGCTCTTGCTGAGGTTTGTACTTCTGTGGGTTTGTGTGCTCCTAGCAATACCTGAGCTAGGTATTTTAAAGCTGATTCAGACATGTATATATGAGCTGCAGTCATCTTAGTTGTGGCAGCATAAGCAAAATTTTGGGAGCTGAGCACTCTCAAAGGGAAAAAAAATACCGTAAACATCTGTATATGAGTGGGTGTTGTCCTTCCGTAACCTGCACCCTAAGCCACGAGAGGAGACTTTTGCAAGTGGCATTAGTGCTTAGCAGTCTGACAGGAGTGTTGGAAGGGTATAAAATGCATCTCTAGTAAGACTGCCTATATTGTGATCTGCTAGACTAAAAGGTATTAGGAAAGTTATTTTCAGGGCCTCTGTCTCAAACTGTTATGTTACAGCTTAGTGGTTTTTTGGTTCATCTTGTCCTGAGTCTTCTTTTTGGTTGGAAAAGCTTGTGTATGAAGTAGTTCAGGGCTGTCCTGTTCCAGGAGTGTGGCATGCTATGCCTGTGAAAATCTCCAGATAATCTCTGTTCTTCCCTTGCTCCATGGGAGGATTACCCAGCACCAATGATTTTCCCTCAGTTTTCTGCCCCACTGTAGCCCATTAGACAATGACTGTATCAAGTGATCCCTTCACCCAGGAGCTCTTCCCAGGTCCAAGCATACACCCCGCCTTTTTCAGGCATGGTCCTGCTGCATCTCTCTCTCCTTTGGAAGGAAAGCTGGGGAAGACGTGTGAGTTAAAAGGGGCTCATAGCATACTCCAGTCTGTGCCCCAAATCTGGATGACCAGTGAGAAGTGGGGTGTGTGTTGTGAAGTACTCCTGCCCTGCCATATAAACATTGCATCAGAAGGTGTAGCAAGGGTGTTGTGGGGCAGAGCAATCTGCCCCATAACTCATGCCATGCCCTCCTCACATGAGGAGAAAGACGAAGTCTGTTCCCATCTGACCCCCCTGCTCCAGCCTACTCATTTTATCTCCTAGAGGTTAATGGAAGCACATACTCAGCACCAATTCAGAGGGGTAATTTTTTCCCCTAACTCCAAACTCATCTACTTAGCCTTGCTGCTAAGCCATCTGTCAAACATATCAGAGTTGAATGTGGAATTTAAAATTAGAGCAAGGCTTTTCAGTAGGCAAAACTGAATTTTCCTGTGTGTGGAGGGAAGCATGTCTTCCTCTTGCTCCATGCCTTATGTTTTGGTGTCTGCTTCACTAGCTCGTTCTTACCCCGAAGAGCCTAGTTCTCTTGTCCCTGCTGAAGGGCTATCCCCAAAATCTGGCCTCCTGGTCTCCCCTTGCACGTTGAGACACACAGACCCACGTACTGGCTCCACACCTGTGCCTAATCCTGCATTGGCTTATTTTTGAAGGAAGTCAGGGAGTGAAGAATAATGTAGCCCAGTCTTCTTGCTCTAGGTGTAAAATGCACACATCTGTATCGTGGCTATAAAAGATGATATACAGCTACTTTCTCTTGAAACCCAGATATGACTTTCATCTTGTTTGTGTAGTATAGAGCCTTGGTGAAAGAAGGACTGGAAAAAGATATCAGAAGTACATAAATAACATTTAAATATCAGCTTTTGATGGTCCTTCCACACAAACTTCATTTCTATACTGTCGTTTTCTTAGAGATCTCTTCAGACCTAATATCAGGCAAGCTATTTCACTTGTAGGCTTAGACAAGGCTATGTTTCAGAGGTGAATTTATTCAGGATTTATTGAAGGCTCTGATGTAACTTCATTGCATGATATAGCAAAATCTTATCTCCCTTCCACCCTCAATGAGTTACACGAGGGCTATTCCATCAGACAGTTCGCTGGTCACAATTTCAGTGCTCAGGTAGATGGGAAGTGAAATTTCAGGCCTTTAGGTTGGTCTCATTGTCTACTGAATTGCCTCTTTAGAGCAGTATGCACTCTTTCTAAGAGGTAACTTAGTACCAACATCTTTCAATACAAGCCCATGTGCTAAATTTTCTCCTTTGACCTTTCCAGATCTCTGCCTCCAATGAGAAATCCTGAAGACAGAATTGCCTATTATTAGCGTTGCTTAATCTCCTTAACTAAATTTCTTCTGAGCTTTATCTTACCCAGTCTAAGCCCAAAACAAACTGCTGAATGTGCTGCTGCATATTTCACGTATGCCTGTGGAACATGCAACCTGCTTGGAGGACCTGCACACCTCCTTCTCAGGCTGTGTGGGTTATGGCACGCCAGAATAGATTGTATTTGTAGTAGGATGCTGCATGTGTTCAAAAACTGTTGAAAGTCTTTGGAATTCTTATAACTGTTTATTCATTCTTCTGTTTAGGAGTCAGTGACCTGTAAGTGCTCATTATGAAGAGAGATCTGGTTTTTTTGGTGACTCTAATTAGCCTTGCCTTCCTGACACTGCTAAGGTCTGGATATCCTCAACATATTGCAGAGGAGTCCTGCTCTGTTCAAATTCTTGTTCCAGGCCTCAAAGGTAATGTGGAAGTCTACTCCATTATTCAAATACTAATCCTTTCTTTCTAACAGGCGCATTTGCACCACTGACTGTTTCTAAGAGAGTCAAAGAAGGTGCCTTTCAGTTGTCCTCTTATTTGTCCAATTTGTAGCCTCCTTAAAAATGGAGTTTTAAGGTGCAGAAGATGAACTTAAGTCTATTAAAATGAACATGGTTTACAGAATGCATGCCAATGTTTCCAGACTTGCCTCTGATCACTAGTGCTTGTTACTCAGATATGCTGCCTGCTTGCTTTCCCTGTGTTTATACTCATGAATGGTGCGCATACCCAAGGACTGTAAAATCAGGCCCTACTTTATATCTGGAGAGGTTTTCATTGCCATTTTGTGATGTACTAATGGAAAGTCTTTTGTATTTTCTAGTCTTCTGCTTGTTTTCCCTTGATTTTTAAATGCTTAAGTGCCTTTTAAAGGAAATAAAATCAGTAAGATTTTTGGCATTTCTGTAGTTTCTGTCAGCAAAGGCAGTATTTTTACAAAATATGCCGCCAAACTATTGCCCCCCAAAAATGGCATAATAAATTATTGATCTTCTTGTAGAAAAATAGTAATAATGTACCTTAGATAGGAAACAGCTGGGAAGAATTAGCATTTTAAAGCAACAGCATCCATTATGGTGTGAAGTCCTAGCCCTGTTTAGTCAATAACAGTAATTCTCATTAAGGAGGCTATGGTATTTCTACTGGAGTGTAACACCTATATGAGCATGGGGAAAATACCTGTTAACTAAGGACAAAAAAACCCAAGAAAACCAGCAGTGTACAATTAATGATTAAAAAAAATGCATTAAGAACAGTACAAGTAACCTTCCAGTTTTTCTGGTACTTATGTATTGTAGTATCACAAAACTCACCTAACAATATTGATGCCACTGGTATCTTCTAGTACAAAACTGGGCTTTACCCAGTTGCCTGAGGACCGTAGTGTGAACTGCAGGCTCTGTCTGTGCTGTGGAATTGATTGGTGAATGCAAGGCTCAATTCTGTCCTGCAGTTGTTCATACAGTTAAATTGCGAGCACACCCTGGCCACGCATTTGGCTGTGGTGCAAACTGCCCTCTCCAGACATTGCCCAGTTTGGATGTGGCTACCCTGTGCTGGAAGCAGTTGAATTTGGCTGTAGGAATGTGGGTTGTGCTTGGCCAATTGGCTTCAGGACCAAAAAAGATCTCCTGTTTTCTTTGTTATTATTATAGATGCAGCTTTGGATGCCTGAACTGAACCAAAATCTAGAATTTTTTTTTTTTTATTTTACTTCAATAAGTGGCCTTTGAAGTCTTAATAATATTTAACCTTCTGCAGATGTTCTACTTAGAAAAAACAACACTATATCCAGGTCTTCTGAGGTTTGACTAAACCTTGAGTAAAGTTGTTTCAATAGTTTGATGTATTTGCTGTGAAACAGGCATGAGATAGTGCTGTTGATGTGACTCACAGAGAAGAACACAATCAAGGTATATTGTCTAAAGCTACACAGAAGATCAGTCAAAGAGTCAGACCCCACAGCACTGGGGACCGAAGCCTTGAAATTATTTTTAATTCCAAAAAGTTGACAGTCTTTGTCTAGTTTTTCAACTTCTTTGCCTTACTTTCCTTATTTGTGTAATCAGTCAAAATTAACATCTACAATTACCATTTTTATGAAAGGACTATTATTATTATTATTATATGCAGCAGAGTTTTTTTTTTAAATGTGTGAACAGCACAGGACCCTGGCCCCTTGTCAGAAGGCAGTCCTGAGCCAGGAAACAACAGAGAGACCTGAAAACAATCTTGTTAATGATTTTATTCTGCTTCATGGCTGTAATTCTTGCAAAAGTGAGAGATGGATGTATAAATTCAGTGAAGCACAAAATGGCCTGATACAGCCCTAGTTGATGTGAAATCCCTAAAAAGCTATCAATGCTCCAGCTACGCTGTCAGGGGGCTGGCTCAGAGAATTGGTAATGAGATACTGCTGTTCTCCACTGGCACAACTCCAGCCCGTTTTGGTGGCCAAGGCTTCCTTTAAGCTGAGCATGTATGTGTTCATGTGCCCAAATTTCAGCTCCCACATGATGGGATTTTCTCTCTGTGGCTTTTAGATCTGCCCCATCTCCTCCTCTGCTGCGCTGCTGGCTCAGTGCTGGCTGCCTCCAGCGATGGAGAAACAGAGCCCTGCTCTGCTGCTGGGTGTGAGCCGGTTGGGATTTGAGAAAAACAGGTACAGAGAAGAAGTGGGAGAAATGAGGGAGACCATGGGATATGTGAAAGGGGAAAAATAGGAGTAGAGGGTCAAGCCTAAGAGGTTGTGCAGAAAGTGGAGCCCAAATGGGGTGGTGAAGGAGAAAGACATCAGGGAAAAGTACACAAAAGTAAGTGAGCATAATGGAGAAATTTTAAAAGAGATAAAGAGAAAAGAAGGGCACAAAGAAGAAGACGGAGGGAAGAGACTGGAAACTTAAAAAAAAAAAAAAAGAGAGATAAGAAAATGACACAAAGCCAATTAGGATCCCACAGACTCAAAGGGGGAATCGGAAGGGGGATGAGGTGAGAGTGGAGGTGGAAATGGAAGATGAAGAAAGCCAGTAAAGACACCAAGAATAGAAAAAGGTACAAATGAGTTTAAGGTCAAGAGCTTAGGTCTTAGGGACTGATTTTCTTTTTTTATAACCTCAAGACTATAAAGGAGTAAGATGAAATGCAGAAGGGAAAAATACCGTGGCTCTGAAAATCCAGACAGCAGACTGATCCATGTTTTAGAAAACCAACAATATTAATAATAGGAAAAATGTGTTGTGTGTGAAGAAGGGGTGGATGATGAAGTCTCACTGCATTGCTCGCTCATATTCTTCCTAAAGTCCTGTTCCTTTTGATAGACCCATGAGACTGAAGTTGCTACTATTGTGGAGAAAAAAATAACATGGAACAGTCCTTGAAAGCTTACATTCTCAGTTTACCACCTTGTTTTGTCTCCCTTCTAGAATCTAAAGCAGGAATTGTCTTAATAGTCTCAATGGCATACAATACATTAAAAAGTTGATGCTACATAAATAAATTAAAACCATTTTTTTTACTCCCACACTTGATGCGTCTACTCGCACAGGGAATATGAGTAATGGAAGAAATTTATCATCAGCTGAGGAATGCTTAATAGCTCATGTAGTTAGTATTTAGTGTGCTGTTTTCATCACAGTAGATGATACAGCTCAAGGCAGGCAGGATGCAAACATGATCCTGTCCCAAAGAATTCACGAAAAGAGGCCAATGGACAGCAATGTTAAGAAATATCGTTTGAATTGTGAAAGGTCTCTCTCAGAAATGACAGGACAAGAAGCTTGTAGTAGTGTCAGAGTTGTGCCTGGTACCTGTGATCCTGCTGCAGCTCAGTGCAGTACCAGGGCTGCATTTCTTTTGGGCTTGTGGGCCGTCACAACGCTGTGGAGCACTGCTGGGCACCTCTTGCCCCGTCTCAGCTGTGTGGGCAAGAGCTGTGTTGTGCTGAGGATGAAGGCACTCTTTCATGGCATAGGGCCTGGAGCACAGAGCCACCCGGGAAGGGATGGAGAGGAGACTGGGCAGGAGGTATGACTGCAAAGGGACTGTGGCTGGTGGGGGAGGCCACAGAGGAGAAACTGGGTAGGGACCACGATGCGCCGATCCCACCCTCCAGCTCCGAAGGGACTGGGTGTAATGTGCAGCACAGGGGCTGGAGACCAGAAGGGAGATGCAGATGTGTCTTTCTCTAAGTTCATTTGTTTGGGTTTTTTTTTCATAATTCAGGAATAAAAACTTAAAAGTTAGTGTTAGTTGGTGATAAATTGAATCGATTGAAATTCCTTGACAGAAAACTTTTTTGTTGCCCATGACACCTGCACAGGCTTTGCTTCCTCAGCTTGTGCAGTGCTCAGGGTACACACAGCAAAAATAGGTGCTTAATCATGGGAAAGCTGACCTGGACCACTGATCAGTCCCTCTTGGCCAAGGTCTTGCCACTTACAACAGCCGATAGCAGAAAATGCAGAATGGTCTGTAGGTGGGCCTGTAATGGGGTAATCTCCTCCCAGGGGAAGTTTCTTAAACACCCACACTAAGGAATGCAGTGTCATCTTATTATAGGAATAAATGCAGGCAAGTCTAATGGCCTGAAGCAAGAGTGATCTATTTTATTGATCCCTAATGCACAGCTTTCACTTTGAAGAACGTGTAAAGCAATAGGCTGTAATAACCTGCTCTCAGCCTCCAGAGAGCAGGGAAAAGTCATTGTCAGGATTTATCTTTGGGAAGCAAAGAACTCATAACCAGCCTTAAGGGGTAAAGGCAATCAGACAAAGCCTATTGGTTACCTGATAATAAAAAAGTGACATTCCCAAATGTGCCAAATAATAGCCTGTTTCATACTAACAATATTATTCAGTGGGGATTATGTGAAGTTTGTCCTCATTAAGGTCAGAGAATGGCCTATTTTTGCATGTCTGAAGGAAGCGAAAATGGTCTGGAGCCTGCTAGCAGCCAGAAGAAGGAAAATATAGCAGATAGAGGACTGAGTTCAGCTCACAGCCACCTGTGTCTGCAATAAGGAAAGAGAGCTGGAGGCTGCAGATTTGAAATGTACCATGTTTTGGCATGTTTTTACGTGTCATTTCTATGGTTCTTCTCTGAACCACAGCTGCCAGCTATGGCAGAGAGCAGAGTTTGACGGGTACGTGGTAACGATTGACTTTTCTGTGATGGTGCTCCCTTCAGCTTTCTGGAGAGCAGCTAATGCTCGCTCTCCTCTGTAGAAGTACAGTGTTGGGGCGTCAGGTGTGTTGTGCTCCCTCTGGCTTTTAGATCCTGGCATTTTATTTTCTGTGGAAGCCATAGAGCTTTCTTCTCCTTCATATAAATCTGGTTTGTAGAAGTGGCTATGTAAATCATTCTTTAAACTTCTATTTGTTTAACAGATTTTTGTTTTGTGTCAATGGCAAATGACAGTAGTAGTGTGATAGTAGCGGGCAAAACAAGGCAAGCGTCCCCAAATTTGCAATGAAAGGCACCAGGAAGCAAACATTTACAGAAACTCATATTTAAATATGCTGAATGTAATAAGGCACCATGAGCCATGTGCATGTAAGTACAATGCACAGTGCTTTGTACCACAGAGATTAAAAGGCACAGTATCTAACTGAGAATATGAATTAGGTGATACTCTTCCATGCTTAAAAATGATGCTCTAAATGAGGGATGTACCAATGCCTTCCTGTAGGCCTGATCCATCCTTATTCCATAAATGTCATAAACTTTTTTGTTTTTTTTTTAATTTGAGATTGTAGTTAAGCCATTTTCACTTGAGACTTAAGCATGTCCTTAGCAGATGCTCAGGAAGTATTTCGTGAACACAGAGACAGAAGTTTATGTGCAAAGTTGGAGCCTAATTCTGAAACTTCTACCTAAGTATCTCCCTGGTACTTCTACTTAAGCTTCTCCCTGATATCCAGTGATAGGACACGTTGGAATGGTTCAAAGCTGTGCCAGGGGAGATTCAGACTGGACATTAGGAAGCATTTTTTTACAGAGGGGGTGGTCAAACGCTGAAACATGCTTCCTAGAAAGGTGGTCGATGCCCTGTGCCTGTCTGTGTTTAAGAGATGTTTGGACAATGCCCTTAACAACATACTTCAACTTTTGGTCAGCCCTGAATTGATCAGGCAGTTGGACTAAATGATCATTGAAGGTCCTTTCCATCTGAAATAGTGTATTCTATTCTAAGTACATGATGCTGTTGGGCTTTTTGGAGGTTGATGTTATGAGTAGCGTACACAAAATTAGACTCACTGTAAGAGACTTCAGTAATGTATTGACTTTGGTTTCGTCAGTGTCTATGCCAATTGCAGGAAGCTTTGTTCTCCATGAAGCAAATAAAGCTGTTAAGTCAGATCCCATCTGCTTTTATTTTTTTTCCACTCTTGTTAAAGTAGGTTTTTATTTTCAGTGGGGAGAAAGGCACTCTTGTCACTGCCATCAGCAGAAAATAGTCCTGTTTTAATATGATTCTTTGTTTCCTTTTGTATCAACAGGAGAGGCTGGAGAAAAGGGGGAGAAAGGTGCTCCAGGTCGTCCAGGAAGAGTTGGGCCACCAGGAGAAAAAGGTAACTGCTAAAGAAGATGTTTTGAAAGTAATTCCTGACTTTTATTGTGAGGTGATGATGATGGGGATCCTGTTTCCCTTTGCTGGGTGACTAAATCATCATTGGGCATTTTTGTATACCGTTGTTTAACCCTGGTAGGCAGCTCAGCCCCACTCAGCCCTCGCTCACCCTGCCCTACTGGGATTGGGAAGAGAATCGGAAAAGTAAAACTGAGAAAACTTGTGGGTTGACACAGAGACAGTTTAATAGGTAAAGCAAAAGCTATGCCTGCAAGCAGAGCAAAACAAGGAATTAATTCACTGCTTCCCATCGGCAGGCAGCTGTTCAGCCATCTCCAGGAAAGCAGGGCTCCATCACACGTAACGGACACTTGAGAAGACAAACATCATCACTCCAAACATCTCCGCTTCCTCCACCTTGCCCAAGCTTTTATTGCTGAGCAGGACGTCATATGGCATGGGATATCCCTTTGGTCAGTTGAGGTCAGCTGTCCCAGCTGTGTCCCCTCCCAGCTCCTTTTGCAGCCCCAGCCTGCTCGCTGGTGGGGTGATGTGAGAAGCAGAAAAGGCCTCGACACAGTGCAAGCACTGCTCAGCAGTAACTAAAACATCCCTGTATTCTCAACACTGTTTTGGTTACAAATCCAAAATATAGTACCCTACCAAGTACTGTGAAGAAAATTAACTCTATCCTGGCCAAAACCGGTACAACCATGTGCACTCATTTGTAGAGTAACTATTGCTTTCTGGTCAAAAAGTTTTATTTTGAAAAAAAAAAAATCTTGATTTTTTTAGAAAGGTCTCTGTGAAGAAAGGCAACATAATGTATTCTTCATAATTTGCCTTCTACAAATGCAAACAGATTAGAGGGAAAAAGTCACTAGGCTCGATTTCCTTGTTTCATTTTGTTTGTAAGTGTGAACACACACTACCTTAATTACAACCATTGAAGTAAGGCAGTAAAACATAATAGGCAGAGATGGCCACGAGTGATTCCCTATTGCTTGGAGCACAGTTCAGTAATATTTATGGAAAGATGGTGGTAACACTGTTTGCATTGTAGTTCAAAAATATTTGAAGGTCTTGAAAGGAATGGTGCTCTATAGTATTCAGTTAAACAGCTGAGAGAAATGTGGCATTCCT